TAACTTTTTAAAAGATTTTTTAGTTTTACACGGACACAATATCCTTAATTTTTAATACCTTTATTTCTTTTAATTTTTTGTTGTAGATGAATACAATATTATTTATTTTTATGTGGTGCTGAGGATTGAACCCAATGCTTCACACATGCTAGGCAAGCGCTCTACCACTGAGCTACAGCCCCAGTCCCAATACCTTTATTTCTTTTTGTTTTTAATACTTTTATTTCACTTATTTATTTTTATGTGGTGCTGAGGATCGAACCCAGGGTCTCCCACGTGTGAGGCGAGCACTCTACTGCTAAGCCACTATTACAGCTGCCCTTTATTTCTTTATGTGTGATGCTGAGGATTGAACCCAGTGCCTCATACATGCAAAGCAAGAGCTGTAATGCTGAGCCACAACCCCAGCCCCAATATCTTTATTTTGTTTATTTATTTTTATGTGGTGCTGAGGTTAGAACCCAGTGCCTCACATGTGTGAGGTAAGTGCTCTGTTACTGAGCCACAACCCCAGCCCCTCATTTAACTTTTTAAAAAGTATTATATTTTACTCAGGTTGAGCGTGCAAACTCCAAATTCTGTTCCTTAAAAATTTTGTTTGCTGGGCATAGCGGTATGTGCCTGTAGTGCCAGCTACTGGAGAGGCTCACTTGATCCCAGGAATTTAGAGGCTAATTTGGGCAACATAGTGAAACACTGTCTCAAAAAAGTTACATTAAAATGTTTATACTATTTTAGTTAATGTTGAGTGCAAATTCAATATATTACTCTTTTCAAAATTGAGAACAGGGGTTTGGATTGTGGCTCAGCGGTAGCTCGCCTAGCACCTGTGAGGCCCTGGGTTGGATCCTAAGCACCACATAAAATAAATAAATAAAATAAAGATATTGTGTCCAACTACAATTAAAAAATAAATATTCTTTAAAAAACTAAGAACAATTTTTAAAACAGTGTTTATTCAAATGACTTGCAGAATCCAGATTTTGGTTCCTATTTAAATTTTTAACAAAAAATAAAACTTCATTTTTTCCTCATTAAAACAATTTTTAATTTTTATTCAGGCTGAGTGTGCAAAGCCTTGGTTTGGCTTCCTTTTTATTTTTATTTATTTATTTTGGGGGGGTACCAGGGATTGATCTCAGGGGCACTTAACCATTAAGCCACACCCCCATCCCTATTTTGTATTTTTTATTTGGTGACAGGGTCTCACTGAGTTGTTTAGCGCCTCACTTTATACTGAGGCTGGCTAATAACTTTTTTTGTTTTATTTTTATTTCAATATTTTAGGGCTGTGAAGCAGGAGTATTGCAAGTTCGAGAGCAGTTTCAGAAAATTAGCAAGGCCCTAAGCAATTTAGTGAAATCCTGTCTCAAAATTTTGAAAAAAGGCTGGAATGTAGCTCAGTGGTAAAGTGCCCCTGGGTTCAAACCCCAGAACCACCCCTACCAAAAAAAAAAAACAACTCAATATTTTAGGGCTAGATGTATATCTCAGTAGTAGAATGATTGCTTTCTCCAGGTAAGGCCCTGGGTTTTATCTTCAGCATTGGAAAAAATAAAAGCAGTATGCAATATATTTATATTTACAGGGAAAAGTCTTTCTCCCATGCTCTATCACTTGCCCTCTTACAAGTAATTACTTTTATTTTTATAAAAATATACTTCCAGGGGCTGGGGATATACCTCAGTTGGTAGAGTGCTTGCTTGGCATGCACAAGGCCCTGGGTTCAATCCCCAGTACCACACACACACACACACACAAAAAAAAAAAAAATCCTTCCAAAATTCAAGCATATCAAGCAAATATAGAAATATATGTTAATTATCCCCCCCATTTTTATCCTATACATAACACATGAATCACTATTCTGCAATTTTAAAAAATCTTTCACATCAGTACATAGTGTCCTCATCCATTTTTTTCCATTGTGGTGATGCAACAAACTTTAACATGTCCCTAATTGATGGACACTTGGTTATTTGCAGTCCTTTCCTATTGCAAATGACACTGCATCAAGTTGTACCCATTTGGAATCACACAAATGTAGACAGATCTGTTTAGGATATATTCCAGAGAGTGTCAATGGAGAAGTTATCTTTTTGTGTTCCCACCAGCAATGTGTGAGTGCACCTGTTACCCCACCAGCAGACTGCCTCTGAGACATTTTGGATATGTTTGCCAGTTAGGAGTAAGAAAGATTATGAGAGGCTTGGGCGGTAGCTCAGTGGCAAAGCGCTTGCTTAGCATGCGTGAGGCACTGGGTTGGATCCTCAGCACCACATAAAAATTAACAAATAAAATAAAGGCATTCTGTCCATCTACAACTACAAAAAAAATATAGAAAAAAAAAAGAAGAAAGATTATGAGCGCAGTGGAGCACTCCTGTAATCCTAGTAGCTCGGGAGGCTGAGGCAGGAAGATTGTGAGTTCAAAGCCAGCCTCAGCAACAGTGAGGGACTAAGCAACTCAGTGAGACCCTGTCTCTAAATAAAATACAAAGAAGTGCTGGGGATGTGAGTCAGTGTTTGAGTGCCCCTAATACCCCTGGTACCCCACCCCCCAAAAAGGAGTAAGATTATGAGTGAAGTCATTTTATTTTCCCTTATGAGAATGGCCTTCACACCTCCTTTGGTAATTTTTGTCTTTAAAAAAATTATTTCTTGGGGCCTGGGATTGTGGCTCAGTGGTAAAGCACTCGCCTAGCATGTGCGAGGCCCTGGGTTCGATCCTCAGCACCACATAAAAATAAAGACAATAAAGTCCATCAACAACTAAAAATTTTTTTAAAAAAATAAGATAAAGATATCGTGTTCAACTACAACTAAAAAATAAATATTTAAAAATATTTCTAGCAACTTTTTATATTTAGGTAGAATATAGGTCAGAGAGTAGAATTACATTGTCTCATTTTGAAAATATTTTTGGGGTGCTTCTACAGACCAAACTCAGGGCCTTATCATGCTAAACATACAGTCTACTACTGAGCTACACCCTCAGACTCTTAAAATGATTTTAAAGTAAGAAAATAAAAAACTATATCTGGTCACCTTTCATGTGTATGTACTCAGGTACTTCTATCACTTGGGGATACTATGGAGTCACAGAACATCCTTGGGTAAAGGATGGGTTTTCCTGAGACCCTTTTTGTCCTTGTTGAATAGAACCATCACCTATTTCTCTCCCACAGGGCTACGGCATGGCATACACTGTCCACAAGTGGTCAGAGCTCAGCTGGGCCAGTCACTGGGTCACTTTTGGATGCTGGATCTTCTACCGTCTCATAGGCTGAGGCATATGACCCTTATAGCCCCTCAAGACTCCTCCTCAGAGTGCCAGCTCTGATGGGGGGTGAGAGAAGGCCCTACTCCTGGACCCGTCTCCATTCATGACACCACCCACACACCCCTACACACACACGCACACACACACACACATTTCCATGCCTGTCAATCCCCACCCCACCACAAGGCGGGAAGGGGGTGGTCCCTGTTAAGGCGTAGGGGTGGGGGATACATGGGGAAGCAGAGAGGGGGAGATGCAGGGCTTCCCTGCCTGCCTTCTCCCTTTTTATATACAGTTTGTTATTGTCAAATAAAAGTAGAAATACACAATAGGCTCTTTCTTCACTGGTCAGATGTGAATAGGAGTGTGAGGAAGGGGGGTACAGCACAGATAAAGGTTTAGAAACTGAAAACCATGTAGAGGGAGCAGTTCATAGTTAATTTATGATTGTTGGTGATGGGTCCAAGGATGGCAGTGTCCTGGTCCTGCTTGACTTGAGTGGAGTGAGTACAGATTTTATAGCAGAATGTAGGGGAAGTCTGATACTAATTGGCCAGAAAACAGGGATCCCTGTTCTGATTGGTTGTTCTGGGACAGATGGGAAGGAACACATGACAGATGAAGGGTTGACGCTTATTGGTCCCTAGATCTGAAGGTTGGGGGTTCTAATTGGGTGAGTCTGAATTGTGACTGGGAGCTTGGTTTGGGTGTCCAGGTTTAGCGTTATTTCATTCTGGTTGGCTTTTTAGAATTGGCTCAGTTGAGGGTCTCCATGCCAATTGGCCTGGATTCTGATTGGTTCTTCTGACTTGAAGTCGGAAGAGGTGAGGATCACCTGCTGCTATTAGGACTATGGAGTTATGAGAGCAAAAGTCCAGGGCCAGTGGAGGGCAAGGGTTTTGCAGTGTGCATGATGTGACCTGCCTGTCATATTATAGTTTCCTTGTATTGACGGTTGGTCTGGGAACGGATTGGTTGTCTATAAAAACAGAGAGGGCAAGAAAACGCTGTCTCTCCAGCAAACGCGGAGCATGTATGTCTAAACTATCTCCGCTGCGATTGCTGAGGGGTCGGGGAAATTGAAACCAAGAATCCTTGCAGATTGGTTACCGGTCGGAAACGCCCACCAACCTTTGACAGTCCCCGCCTCCACCCCACTCCTGACTTGGTCTCAGCCAACAGCGAAAATGGCACCACGCGTGAGGATGGGACCTGCAGCACACGGAGATCTCCTATTGGTTGGGAGGCACCTTTCCCGCTTCTCCATTGGCCTGCTCCTTTAGGCGGGGGAACCGTGAGGGGATGGGCCCGAACTAGGGACGTTTTCAAGCGAAAGTCAGCCTAGCGAGATCGGGAGCCTGTGGGAAACGGCTGCTGGCTGCTGCGATCGCGCGGCTTCGGTGAGTGCTCTCGTCTGACTCTCCACTCCATCCCCTAGCTCTCCACCACCTGATGGCCCGCCCTCCGCCAGCCTCGCCGGCTTCTTATCCCCCACCCTTGCGCCTGCGCGGGACCCCTTGCTCCCCGCGGTTGTCCGGACGACGGAAGACCCGCCTTCTCGTTGGGTTGTTGGACTGGAGGGTTCTGGTTCTGATTGGTGGTCTCTGTGTTTGACTCCCCTTTTCCTCGTTAGCGTCGCCCGGGAGACCCCAGCCCTTCCTAGTCGCGTGCAGGTTGGCAGCATAATATACTCTTGCCAGCCGGCTGTAGCTTTTGAATGGTGGGCTTTAAATGCTTTGCCCGCGGTTTCCTTCCCTCTGGCGGGAGGGAATACCTTTCCATTCAGTAGTGTAAACATTGGCCTGGTTCCTGTGTCTTGCCAACAAACTTTCAGTGCTGCATGCCTGTAATCCCATCGACTCAGGAGGCTGATACAGGAGGATTGCAATTTCGAGGCCAGCTTCAGCAATTTAATGAGACCCTGTCTCAAAAACAAGATAGAGAAACGACTGGGTATGTGGTTCAGTGGTTAACCCACACCTGGGTTCAAAACCGGGCACTAAAAAAAAGAAAGAAAATAGTGTTAGCCCTGACTTCTGGGGTCTGTCTTGGTGACTGAACTCACCTACCAGACTGTAACCAATGAGGGCTGGGATCAGGAGTAGTTCCTGTGTGTCCCACACCAAATTGTGACCCCTGAGGGCTGGAACCAGACCTGATACCTGTCACCTCCTCTAGACTGTGACCAGTGAGGGCTGGAACCAGTGAGGGCCTTGTTTCTGTATGTCCTTAACAAGATTGTGACCCCTGAGGGCTAAACCAGAGACCTGTTTCCAATTACTGCAGCTCCCAGAGGGCTTGAAGGACTTTCAGTCTTTCTGTGGCCTTATTATAATCATGTTCTTAAACAGTATACAATTCCATTATTGTCTATCTATCTCTAAAATTAGATTATTTATAATCCAGTTTTATAGTCAGTCCATTAACTGGTCAATTCAGTCCATTTACATTTCTTGTAGTAATAAAGTATTTGGATTTAATTTAATTATCTCACTTTGCTTTTTATTTGCCCAGGTTATTCTGTTCCTTTTTTCTCCTTCCTGTTGGTCCACACGTGGCTGTCAGCCCACAGAGACATGGCCACCAACGCAGGCCCCTTGCACCCATATTGGCCTCGGCACCTGAGGCTGGACAACTTTGTGCCTAATGACCTCCCCACCTGGCATATCCTGGCTGGCCTATTCTCCATCTCTGGGGTCATAGTTGTGACCACATGGCTGTTGTCAGGTCGTGCTGCAGTTGTCCCACTGGGGACTTGGCGGCGACTGTCCTTGTGCTGGTTTGCAGTGTGTGCATTCATTCATCTGGTGATTGAGGGCTGGTTCGTTCTCTACCACGAGGTCCTTCTTGGAGATCAAGTCTTCTTGTCTCAACTCTGTGAGTCCTGAATTCTTATGTTATGGGAGGGAACTTCCTGGGCAGGGATTGGCTTACAAATTCTTCAATTAATTTATTTGAAAAGTTTATAAAACTTTTGTGCCCCACATATATTTGCATGGATCAAGAAACAAAGCCATTTAAATAAGTATGCAGTGAAAATCTGCCTTCTCTCCACCAAGAATCCCCCAAATCTCTTAGGTGCTATTAGTAATTGTTTCTGGGACTAGGGATGTAGCTCAGCAGGAGGGAGGGAGGGAGAGAGAGAGAGAGAGAGAGAGAGAGAACTTTAGTATGTGCAAGGCCCTGGATTAAATCCCCAGCACACACAGAGACAAATTCTTGAGTTTATTTATATATAGGCCTCAGTTTGCTCAGTTGTAAAAGGGGGATAATAGTAGTTACTTAAATATATGAAAGGGATTTAGAACAGTGGCAGTTATTTACTATTATTTTATTATCATTATTATATTTATTTTTTCCCTTTTTAAGTAAATGGAAACAAGCTATTTATACTTCTGAACTTTGATTTTGTGTGTGTGTGTTTGTGTGTGATACTGGGGATGGAACCCAGAGGTATTCTACCACTGAGCAATATCCCTAGCCCATTTTATTTTTTATTTTACTTGAAGACAGGGTCCTCGGGGTTGGAGTTGTGGCTCAGTGGTAGAGCGCTCGCCTAGTAAGCATGAGGCACTGTGTTCGATCCTCAGCACCACATAAATATAAAAATAAAGATTTTTTTTTAAAAAAGAGGGCTGGGTCTGGGGCTCAGGAGTAGCACGCTTGCCTGGCATGTGTGAGGCAATGAGTTTGATTCTCAGCACCACATATAAATAAATAATAAATAAATAAACAAAGGTCTATCAACAACTTAAAAAAATATTAAAAAAAAGACAAGGTCTCACTAAGTTGCCCAGGCTGGCCTTGAACTTGTGATCCTCTTGCCTCAGTCTCCAAGTCACTGGGTTTACAGATATGCACCACTGTGCCCCATTGAACTTTGCTTTTTCAAATGAGGTCAATCCTAGCCAGGATGGTGGTTCATGCCTAGTACCCAAAACAAATAAATAAAATAAACTGAGGTCACTCCTTATCATAAAGAGCTTTTCCTTTTTTCTTTCCTTTATTTTTTTGGGGGGGGTACCGGGGATTGAACTCAGGGTACTCGGCCACTGAGCCACATCCCCAGCCCTATTTTGTATTTTATTTAGAGACAGGATCTCACTGAGTTGCATAACACCTCCCTTTTGCTGAGGCTGGCTTTGAACTCACAATCCACCTGCCTCAGCCTCTCAAGCTGCTAGAATTATAGGCATGTGCCACTGTGCCCAGTTTATAAAGAGCTTTCAAAGCATAGATGTAATAAATTTATTTGATATGTACAATCAATACAGTGCATTTCCCTCTAATCTTCTACTGTCTCGACAATATTTCTTTCTGGTCTCATGAATAAAGCTGCTATGAACATTCTAATATGTGTCTTTGTGTTGACTAAACCTCTTTTATTTCTCTGAATAAAGATGTAGAAGTAGAATGGCTGGGTCTTATGGTAGGTGTGCATATAACTTTATGAAAAACTACCCGGGGCTGGTTTTGCAGCTAAATGGTAGAATGCTTGCCTAGCATATTTGAAGCCCTGGGTTCCATCCCCAGCACTGAAAACAACAACAACTACTACTAAACTGTTTTCAAAAATGGTTGCACCTAGCCAGCACAATGGCAATGCCTGTAATCCCAGCAGTTTAGGAGGCTGAGGCAGGAGGATCATGAGTTCAAAGCCAGTCTCAGTAACTTAGGAAGGTCCTAAGTAACTCAGTGAGACCCTGTCTCTAAACAAAATATAGAAAATGGCTGGGGATGTGACTTAGTGTTTCAGTGCTCCTGAATTCAATCCCTGGTACCAAGAAAAAAAAAATGATTGTACCATGTTACATTCCCACCAGCAAAACAGGACAATTCTAGTTCCTCCACATCCTCACCAACATTTGGTATTGTCAGATATTTCCTAAATTTTAGTCATTCTAGTGAATGTGAATGATAACTCATTATTTTAATTTGCTTTTCCTTAATGACTAATGAAAGTTTGAGAAACTTTTATCTGAGCACTGTGGCACACACCTGTAGTCCCAGGGATTTAGGAGGTTGAGGCAGGAGGATCACAAGTTCAAAGCCAGCCTCAGCAACTTAATATGACCCTGTCTCAAAAAATAAAAAGGGTTGGGGAAGCCGGGCACAGTGGCATATGCCTGTAATCCCTGCAGCTCTGGAGGCTGAGGCCAAAGGATTTTGAGTTCAAAGCCAGCCTCAGCAATGTATCAAGGCCCTAGGCAACTCAGCAAGACCCTGTCTCTAAATAAAATATAAAAAAGGTCTGGAGATATGGCTCAGTGGTTAAGCACCTGTACTAAAAAAAAAAAAAAAAAAGGCTCGGATGTAACTCAGTGGTTAAGCAGCCCTGGGTTTGATCCTCATCAAAAACAAATGGATTAAAAGAGCTAGGAATGTAGTTCAGAGGTAGAGCACCCCTGGGTTTATTCTCCATTACTATAAACAAACAAACAAACAAAAAAGTTTGAGCTCTTTTCATGTTTATTGGCCACTTGGAAATTCTCTTTTGTGAAGAACTGTTTAGGTTTCCTGCCTACTTTTACCTTGGGCGGTTCTGGGTTTGTTTGTTTGTTTTTTTTTTTTTTTTTTTTTTTTAATTTTTTCTCTTCTCCATGCTGGAGATGGAACCCAGGGCCTTGCACGTGCTAGGTAAACATCTACTATGAGCCACAGCTCTAGCCCAAGTGATATTTTTCTTATTCTCTGTTCATTCTTTCATTCACTCATCTGTTCACCTGCATATATGCTCTCTCTTGCACACTGTCTATCATGAAATATTTCATTCACTCCATCATCCCTTTTTCTTTTGGCAGTGCTGGGGATTGAACCCAGGGTCTTGTTCATGCTAAGCAAGTGCTCTATCAATGAACTATACCCCCCACCCCATTCACTCGATCATCTATCTATATCTGCCTCCTTTTATGCCACAAATGCTTTTTTTTTTCCCCTCAGTAGTAGAGACTGAACCCAGGATGCTATTATAACTCAGAGCTACCTTTCATTTATTTTGTTTTTTAAGATTTTGAGACAGGGTCTTGCAAATTTACCCCCGAGTGGCCTTCAACTTGTGATCTTCCTGCTTCAGCTTTCCTAACAGCTGGCAATACAGGCATGCACCTGCCAAGTCTGGCCAAACACTTCTTGAGTATCAAGCAGTCACAGCAACACTGTTCTGTGTCACACACATTCTTTTTTTTAAATGTTTCATTTGTTCTTTTTAGATATACATGACTAGAATATATTTTGACATGTTATACATACATGGAGTATCACTTCCCCTTCTTATGGTTGTACATGATGTAGAAGACACACATTATTAAACTTTAGAATCCAAACTGCTACCCCATTTCACAGATGAAGAAACTGAGGCATGGAGAGGTTATGAAGTCTGCCAACTTACAGGGGCCCCAGCTCTCACAAAGGAAAGTTCCTTTTCTTTCTTAATTCTTCATGTGTGTTTTTCTTTTCTTCAGGGAAAGAGTATTCCAAGGGAGACAGCCGATACATCATGTAAGTGTTTGTGGGTCAATGGAGCCCTGCATAGGTTTGGGGTGGTGGTAAGTCAGCTTTAATAGGGTGCCCTGTGCACACAGCATACTAATTCCAGTATCCCTCCATCCTTTCTCTTGCAGTAATGACAACTTCACTATCTGTATGGAAACCATCACAGCTTGCCTGTGGGGACCACTCAGCCTATGGGTGGTGATTGCCTTTCTCCGCCAGCAACCCCTCCGCTTTGTTCTACAGTTCTTGGTCTCTGTGGGTGAGGCACTGGGCACTAGAGGGATTGATGGGGGAATCCACAGACACAGGTATAGCCCTCTGGGTAGTATCTCTCTTGATTGTGTCCATCCAGAGGCACATCAGCCTGAGTGACCAACTCCCTAAAGTACTAAAACAGCCATGCCCCTCTCTGATCTTGCATCTCAATTTCTCTTCTTCCTTCATCACAGAGTCTCCTATGAAAGTTATATGTAATGTCCTATGCTTTCAAGAAGCCCCTGGGTCCTCCAGGACAAGGATTCTGAGTTCCCTTATCTGAGACTCAGTCTTCTTTTTTTAATATTTATTTTTTAGTTTTAGGTGGACCCAATATCTTTATTTTACATTTATGTGGTGCTGAGGATTGAACCCAGTGCTTCGTGCATGCTAAGCAAGCGCTCTACCACTGAGCCATAATCCTAGCCCTAAGACTCAGTCTTCTTATATTTTTTGGTACTGTGGATTTAACCCACGGGCAGTTAACCACTGAGCTATATCCCCAACCCTTTTTTGTAGTTTATTTAGAGACAAGATCTCACTGAGTTGCTTAGGGCCTGGCTGAGTTGAACTCACAACCCTCCTGCCTCAGCCTCCCAAGCCATTAGGATTATGGTGTGCACCACTGTACCCAGCTAGTCTTCTTGTATTCTTAAATTGTTAACTTTCTTTAGTTCTGGATGTAGGGGTTCCCTTTAGCCCTGGAATCTAAGCTGTCTTGAATTTTAGGATTTTGAACTTCCTTCAGTTCTGGACATATGAGCTCTCCTAAGTTCAGAAATTCTCAGTGCTAGCTGGGTACAATGGCACATGCCTATAATCCCAGCTTCATGGGAGGCTGAGACAGGAAGATCACAAATTTGAGGCTAGCCTGGACAAATTAGCCAGACCCTGTCTCAAAATGATACTTAAAAAAGACTGGTGATGTAGCTCAGTGGTAGAGTACCTCTGGGTTCAATCCCCAGAGCTGCCAAAATCTTCTAAATGCTCTGATGTGTAGAATTCTCATTTTTGGATTTCTGAAATTTTTAGTTCTGTGATTTCAGAATTCTTAGCTCTCTGAGTTTAGGATCCTAAGATCTGAAACCTTGAAGGATGACTTGGGAAATGCCTTGAAAGAGAGTCTGGGTTAGCCTCCTGTTCCTCACAGGGGTTGATCCTTTCCCCTCCTGCCTCCCACAGGCCAGCTCTACGGAGATGTACTATACTTCCTGACAGAGTACCGTGATGGATTTCAGCATGGGGAATTTGGCCACCCACTCTATTTCTGGTTTTACTTCGTCTTCATGAATGCCCTGTGGCTAGTGCTACCTGCAATCTTCGTGCTGGATTCCGTGAAGCAGCTCACTCGTGCCCAGAGGACACTGGACAGCAAAGGCACAAAAGCCAAGAGCAAGCAGAACTAACAAGCAGTGGACTAGCCTGGAACACTGACTGATGATGTGTTCCTTCCAGAGGAGTCCAATCCTGCTCCCACAGGTTGGAGGGGCCAAAGCTTATTGATTTGTGACACTCAGACTGATGGGTGGCCACAAAAAGGGTCAGATATGAGAAAGATAGGGATTGTATAGCACTACTGCCAGGAGCCATTGGGAACAAGACATAAGGCAAGGAACAAGACATAAGCCATGATGGTGGCAATTTTTAAAATCAGAAAATAAAATATCATAACTTGAATACTGAGAGATCTTTAATTACTAACCCTAGAAATGCCTTGTGATTAATCTCTTCTTCACTCACTCATCTGCAGACCCCCCATCATCATCTCTGACTTCACAAACTCCCAGTACTGATCTCACATGATCCCATCATTTACCCTAATGACCCCATAACTCACCACCTGGACTCCGCATTAAGACCACTCCATCACTCACCCCATAGACCCTATCACAGACTCCATAGGCCCTTCTGTTAGACAGCTTGAAGTGCCATACCAGAATGCCACAGACTGCATGGCTTAAACAACAGAAATTTATTTTCTCAGTTCAGGAGCTAATCACAGTGTCCATAGGGTTGATTTCTTCTGAGATCTCTTCTTGGCTTGCAGGTGACTGATTTCTCACTGTGTCCCAACGTGGTCTTTTCTCTGTGTACCCAAGCTCCTGGTGTCTGTGTGTATATGTGTGTCCAAACTTCGTCTTAGGAACTAGTCAGATTGGATTAGCCACCCTAACAGCCTCATCTAAAATAAAGGCCCTTGGGCTGGGGATGTGGCTCAAGAGGTAGTGCGCTTGCCTGGCATGCGTGTGGCCCGGGTTCGATCCTCAGCACCACATACAAACAAAGATGTTGTGTCTGCCGAAAACTAAAAAAAATAAATATTAAAATTTAAAAAAAAATAAAATAAAATAAAATAAAGGCCCAGGGGCTGGGGATGTGGCTCAAATGGTAGTGCGCTCACCTAGCATGTGTGAGGCACTGGGTTCGATTCTCAGCACCACATAAAAAAAAATAAAATAGAGATATTGTGTCCACTTAAAACTAAAAAATAAATTTAAAAAAAATAATAATAAAATAAAATAAAGGCCTTATCTCCAAATACAGTCACATTCTGAGGTACAGGAGTTCAGAGCTTCAGCATATAGATTTGGGGAGGACATGATTCAGTCTATAACATTTTGCTCTCTGTTCTCCCCCAAATTCATGTCCTTCTTGCATATAAATTATATTCACCCATATCCCAGCAGCCCAAAACTCTTTGCCCATTCTGGCATTGACTTTTTTTTTTTTTTGAGGGGGGGGGGTTGCTGGGAATGGAACCCAGGGCTTTGCACATGCTAGGCAAGTGTTCTGCCACTGAGCTACACCCCTAACCCCTGCATTCACTTTGAATCCCAACTCTTACCTAAATATTTAAATCAAGCATGGGTGAGAGGTATGATTCATCCTAAGGCAAAAATTCTCTAGCTGAGAACCTGTGAAACCAGATCAGTTTGCTGTTTCCAAAATGAAGTGTTGGGACAGGTATAAGAGAGATATTCCCATTCCCAAAAGAAGAAATTGGTAAGAATAATGAGATCACAGGTCCCAAGTAAATCCAAAACCTAACAGGGCAAATTCCATTACATTTTAAGGCCTAAGAGAAATCCTCTTTGGCTGGATACTCGGTCCCCTGGCCCACCAGGGTCGGGTCAACACCTTCTGGGCCAACTAGAGCAGCACTGTTGCTTTCTCTACCTGATGCACTACAACTAAAACTCGTGGCCCTGCCCTCCAGAATTGAGGAGGGCATGGCAGTACCATTAGGGTCACTCTTCCTTTTTTTGAAAGTTAAAATATATTTACAGCCAGAAAGTTCTATTGTTTTGTTCTGTAGAATCTCAGAAGGTAGACAGCCTTCCTTCATTTTATCCCATCTCTATTCCCTTTAGTCCCAGCTACCTGAGTGTTTCCACTGGTATTGCCCCACCTTTATTCCTGAATTCTGCTGAGACAGCAGATTAGATCAGTACAGCACACTCATGATTTCTTTATGGAGTAATTTTCCTGCCACACCCATACTGTTCTCTACAGAACACTTTTTTTGTTGTTGTGGTGGTGGTGCTGGGGATTGAACCCAGGACCTTGTGCATGCAAGGCAAGCACTCTACCAACTAAGCTATATCCCCAGCCCTCCAGAACACATTGTTAAAAAAAATATTTTTTAGTTGGTGATGGGCCTTTATTTTATTTATTTTATGTGGTGCTGAGAATTGAACCCAGTGCCTTGCACATGCTAGGCAGTGCTCTTCCACTGGGCTAAACCCTAGCCCTCCAGAACACTTTTTGATTTTGTAATATTGGACAGGCTGAGAATTTTATGAAGCTTCACATTTTTGTTCTTTCCTTCCTAATACTTCCTTTTCTCCCTTTCTTTCTTTTTTTCTGTACTAGCAACTGAACCCATGGGAGTTCTACCACTGAGCTACATCCCCAGCCCTATTTTGTATTTTATTTAGAGACAAGGTCTCACTGAAATGCTTAGGGCCTCACTTTTGCTGAGGCTGGGTTTGAACTCAGATCCTCCTGCCTCAGCCTCCTAAGCCACTGGGATTACAGGGGTGTGATACCACGCCCAGCTATTTATCACAGTTCTTGAGGCTAGCACAGATACATTCTGTTTCTGTTGAGGGCCCACTTCCTCATAGATGGCACCTTCTTGCTGTATCCACATATAGTGGAATGATTGAATTCTAGATTCTTCATTTCTTTTTCTGGGGTGGGGCAGTGCTGGGGATTTAACCCAGGTGCTTTACCACTGAGCCATATCCCCAACCCTTTTTATTTTGAGGCAGGGTCTTGCTGAGTTATTTAGGGCCTCACTAAATTGCTGAGGGCGGTCTCAAACTTGCCATCTTCTTGCCTCAGCATCCCAAGTCACTGGGATTACAGTTGAGCACCACTGCCACCATACCAGGTCCTCTTTTTATTTTTTGTTTTAAAACAGGGTTATCACTAAGTTTCCTAGACTGGCCTTGAACTTGCAATCCTCCTGTAGTTCATTCCTGAACTTGCAGACTCCTGCAGAGTCTCAGCCTGCAGAGCAGCTGGGATCATAGGTATGTACCACCATACGTGGCACAATCAAGGCTTTTTCTAACATATACCTCAAAAACTGTTCCAGCCTCAGGGGTGGGGATGTGGCTCAGTGACAGAGCATTTGCCTAGCATGTATGAGGCACTGAGTTTGATCCTTAGTACCACATAACAAATAAAATAAATGCAGTCTGTCCATTTACAACTACAAAAAAAAAATTAACTCTTCCAGCCTCTACCCATCACCCAGTTCCAAAGTTACAGTTCTATATATTACATTAGCACCCCACTTCCCAGTATCAAAATATATATTAGTTTGCTAGGGTTGCCATAATAAAAATGCCACAGACCAGATGGCTTAAACAACAGAAATTTACTTATTTAATTTTATTTTTTGGTACTAGAAATTGAACCCAGGGGCACTTTACCACTGAGCTATATCCACAGACCCCCCTTTTTTTCACTATGTTGCTTGTTACTTAGGGCCTTGCTAAGTTGCTAAGGCTGGCCTTAAATTTGCCATTCTCCTACCTCAGTCTCCTGAGTCACCGAGATTACATGCCTAGGTTATTTATTTTTTAAAATGAAGTTTTTACATGAATACCAACTTTATTTGATTTATTTTATTTGTTGTGATGCTGGGGATCAAACCCAGGGCCTCACATATACTAGGCCAGCACTCTACCACTGAGCTACATCCCCACCCCTAGAAATTTGATTTATTTATCTAGGTACTGGGGATTGAACTCAGGGACATTTTGTCACTGTGTTACATCCCCAGCCATTTTTATTTTTTTTATTTTGAGACAGGGTATCACCATGTTGCTTAGGGCCTAAATTGCTGAGGCTGGCCTCTAACTTATGATCCTCTTGCCTCAGCCTCCCAAGTTGCTGGGATTATAGGCATGTACCATTGCACCAGAGCAACAATATATTTTAAATGGAAAAAGAAAAAAGACCACTGCCATTATGGTCTCATTTAACTTTAATTACCTTCTTAAAGATTCTATCTCAAATATCTTCCACTTTAGAGGGTGGGGTTTCAACATAAGAATTTTCTTTCAGGGATACACAATTAAGTTCACAAATTCATTATCACTGACCCCCCCCCCCCGAACTCATGGGTGCCACATCCCACACCTCACAGGGTTCCCAATGCTCACACCACACGCCCCCCTCTCTATTCAGCCTTTTTGACTCTGATAAATCATTCCACAGACACTCTGCCCATCATCCACACCACATACCCTACAACTGACCCCACAGACCTCCATCATTCATACACTATCACTCACCCTATCACTTACCCTAGACACGTCACTCAACCATAGTCCCCTATCACTCACCCCACTAAATCCTACTACTCATCCCCAAAGTCTCCTATACTCACCCTGAAAACCACATAACTTATCCCATAAAACCCTATCACTCACCCTACCAACCCTATCACTGACATCACAGATACACCACTCATCCTATAGATCCCTTATAACTAACCCTATAGACTCCCCATAACTCATCATTTTAGGAGGGGTATCAAGGATTGAAACCAGGGGAACTTTACCAATGAGCCACATCCCACGCCCTGTTTATTTTCAAAATAGGGTCTCACTAAGTTGCTTAGGGCCTCACTAGTGTGCTGAGGCTGGCTTGGAAATTGTGATCCTCCTGCCTCAGCCTCCTGAGCCACTGGGATTACATATATGAGCCACTATCCCTGGCCCTCTAACTCATCTCACAGAACCCATGCCTCATATCATAGACCACCCCCAGGTTCCATCACTGATCCCACAGACCTCTTATCACTCACCTTACCTATCATTCCATCTGTCAACTTGCAGTTCTCCACCATTCATGGTATATAACCCATTGGTCACCAACAGATGCCTTAATCACCCCAAAGACACCTGTTGCTTACTATACAGACTGCTTTTCACACACTCAGAGTCCCTTCATTCCACCTGCAAATCTCCCTAATGGCAACCTATCACTCCATAGATGCTCCACACTTACCCTGTGGAACTCCTCCTCACTCACCCTGAAGACCCCATCCCTTATTCCATACTCTCTATCATTAAGCAATTGATTCCTTGAAGGATTTCAAAGAGATGGTAAAGAATGAATAATAAAATGGCAGATACTTGAATACTGGTTTTAGGTGA